TACCAACCTTGGACTATTTTTCAGAAATAGTTGATAATTTCTATTTTGTGAATGCACCTCTCTTTTTGCTGTTTTTCTGAGATCCCAATGCCGTTACCAGACTCCACTTTTCTGGTGAGGGTTAAGTCCAATGGTGTATTATTTTTCTTAATCTTTAACAATATGTCTCATTTTTATATGATTAAAGGATGGTACTGAAATTCAGTGCTTTGTCGCTAAGAGTTTGGATCAAGTTGTCGGCGTTGCCCTCCTTAGACGAGAAGAGGTATCCTTTTTTTTGTTCTTTTCTTCTGTTGAGTTTTATGTGAAGTAAAGAGCTTCGGCTCTGCAATTTTGACCATTTCCGTTATTCAGCCGTTCTTTGTCATGTATTGTTTAAACCTTCACATTCGTCTTCTTTCTGCTCCTTTGTAGGATATAGAATATATCCGCTCTCATTTCAACATTGAAGATTTTATTTACTTCAATCATCATAAAAGAGATGAACATGGCCGTCTGTTCCATTTTGCTCTCAATCCTGTATTTCAGCAATATTCCAAACACTTTCTAAAGGTAAGATGTACACTGAAAGTTGAAGCTTCAACAGCTCGTTACTGGTGATGCGGGTGTGTCTTCTGACAATCACGTTTGACCATTACATGTTTCTCTCCTTGTAGGAAGTGCTAAGACTGGCCCACAAATCTTGCCTGTATTACCCAGTCTGCCCAAGATACACAGAAACACAACCAGTAAGTTAGCATCAATCTCAGATTTTTAGTACAAACACTATTTATGTCAAATAGTTTTGCGCGCGCACGATTAATATCAACGTTACACGTGGCTTAAAATAAACTCTCGCTAAAACTGGGAAATATCTGGTAATATTCTTCAAATGATTTTCATCAATTTCAAAGGCATGCCACCAAATTCACGAAAAGTCTCGTTTGCAGTTCAATTTTAGATGGAGAAGTGTTTTTCGGTCAAATCTATCGTTTACAAAGTCATAAGTGAAAAATCTGACAAGTCAGCTTCCACGCAATAAATGTATTTGACGCCGAGCTCTTTTGCAAAATTTCTTCCCGCGCGCTTAAAAAAAATCCTAGAAGGATAATTACCGCCGTAGTCTTTACTGGCCTCTAAATTCCACGAAGCTTACAGTTTTCCTCTACCTTCTTTTCTGGGAAAACTGTTCACTTCTCAGAGCACATAACGTCCGCGGAAAAATAGCTCGGCATGTTTTCGCGTCAAAGGAAAACGTAT